TCGTCGTTCAGTGCCTTGTCCGCTCGAACAGCATCCTCTTCCTTCTTGCCCACCTGTGCCGCAACAAAGTCATAGTCAGCCTTGAGGAAGGCATACTCGAGCACAGTCTCAATTCCAATGCCTTCTTCCACCCTGTCTGACATGCCCGACGAGCTCGACTGGCGCTTCTCCACAACCTCCTTTTCAGCAGCATGGCCTTGTCCACCTGCCGACATGGAAAAGTGCTCCGGTTTGAAGCGTCGAAAGTATCCGCCAACCAGCTCTTTCCACTGCTTGACTAGCTGTCGTTCCAGCTCCTCTGCCTTGCCTATGCTGTCCGATTGCTTGACCGGCGGCACGCCAGCCATGGCACTCTCAGTCGATTTGGACCCTGCTGTTGGTAGCTGGTCCTTGGTGCCGGGCTGTGGTGGCTTCATAGCTTGCGTCCCGGGCGGCGTGTGAGTCTCAATGGCCTCCAGGCTCTCCTTGTCCCTCTGTCTTTGATCTCCAGACGTAGCCTGGCCTTTTGCTTTCGAGCTGCCTGCGTGTGCCTCGCCTCTGTCCCGCAGGAGACTGCTTTTCAGCTCAAATTGCTGTGTTGCCTTTTCCAAGTAGTCGTGCAGCTGCTCCCTGAGGAACCCTGAGCACTCGGCACCGCCATGGCCGTCAAAGACACCAAAGTAAAACACCTGAGGATCGCCACTTGCGCCCATTTCTGGTGTAACTTGACCATCGTCTCCGCCCTGCCCCTTTCTGGTCAGGGAAATGGGCCGCCGCTTCGCGAATGCGGGGAGGTCGATGGTGCCGGCTTGGAATGCATCCTCATTGTATGGCCGTGCCCCTCGTGACAACGACACGCCAAAGTGATGTTTAGCACTCTTCAACGGTATGCGCACAACAGTCATGTCTCGCGACGGCGGACCGATGACGGCGGCGGGCGAGCGGCTCGTCTGGTCGGCATTGTAGGGCGTGCTCTTGTCGCGGGGGAGTCGATGGTGGAGCGCGGGCTGGGTTCGCGAGTCGGGAGACAGGGAGCTCGAGGGGATATGGGTTATGAAGTAGTCATGGAAGCTGCGGTGCTGTCGGGCGAGCGGCGCCATGCATGGCGAGACGAGGGCGTGGTATGCGGATGGGGGAATCCTGCAGGCGTGCGCATACAGGCAAACAGCCCGAGGCCTTGCAAAGGCTCGGGATCGGTGCAGCATCGGTGTCCACATGTCGTCTCTTGCTGCGAGGGACACATGGCGCGGGTGGACAGGTGGCTATGCCATGGTGAATGTGCTGGGGATACCCCAATTCCAAGCCTCAAGACTTCGCCCATATCCCGCCGCTGTTCCTGGGCCGCTCTGCCGAGTCTGCTTCTCCCGCTACGTCATCTCATTGGACCGTGGCTCTGGGTGATGCAATGGCCTCTTAGTAGTCCCTTGGCTACCATCGACACACTCTCCAGTGTTTACACCTAGTACACAATCATTGTGCTTTGAGGCGGCCATGGCGATGAGAAAAATCTGGTCAAAATTCCCACTCACGATGATGGTTGCCAATGGCTGAGTCACGTGAGTACATCACATCCCAACACCTCCTGTCACTCTCACGATACAAGGCTGAGAATCATACGGCGCCAAACATACACCATATTAGCGTGACTAATTATACATTACAAGCATTTGCATCGAAAACTCATGTTGAAAGACTAAAAGTACTATGCGAATTTATTTCAAGCTTGCATTCTCATGGCATTGCACATATTCACTCATTGTTCTCTTGCATACACAACATCTCCTCCCGCCTTTGGCCATGGTGCTGGCGTCGTCTTTCCCTTTACAAGAATCATGCGCGGCATGCCCGACGTCGAAACGATGGTCGGGCTCCATGGTGATTGGGCGTCCTCAATATGGATGCTGTCCATGCTCATCCTCTTAGTCTCGATTTTCAATGGTTTGCTGTCCACATTCTGTGTCACAGTCTCAGGACCTCTCAGTGCAATCTCGTCGTCCGAAGACTCCGACTTGCGAGGTTTGGAGATGAATGATGTTGACTTGTTGCGGACATCGTTGTATACCTGCTGGAACAGAGGGCGTAGGATGGCAATGGAAGCTGCGATGATTCCAGTCCCGGGTTCGGCAGTCGCCCAGATGGTTGCCTTGATCGCTTGCGCTGTTTCCATATCAGTACCATTCTTCAAAAACGAGACTCAGAAAGGGAGACAACATACGGTTCAACGATTCCATTGTGCTCAGTTCTAAGCCATCCAGGTACACCAGTCTCATTATCGAACTGACACTGCCAACGGCTCCCAAGGCCATGACCATGCCAACACTCATCTTACTCCGGCGATCCAAATCACTGTCCATTAGGACCGAGATGGGGATCAAGACAAATGTCCAGTCTGCCAAGACGTTGATGATGCCGTAGATATATCCGGCGCTCATGCGGAGTGCTGGAGGCAGACACTTATCTGACTTCTTTTGAATGAAACCGTCGGCAATATGCCTAGGGTCGCCGCACTGGAAGAGAATGATGAAGAAATAGAAAAAGCCGTAAACCACACCAATGGTGAGGACGGTGTGGAAGACATGCTTTTGCCATTTCTTGGTCAAGACTCGCAAGAAGAAAATACCAAGCGAGACTTTCAGAAAGGTTGTTGTAAGAAGATAGAAGACTTCTGAAAGTTGGACAAACTGGCCACTGGTTAGCCTGTCGAGTAGAGGGTGCGGCAGCACAAGTAGTTACGCAATGACATACGATCAGAGTTGTGTGGATACTGGCTTGGGTCCAGGGCTCGATGCTTTTCGCCCGAAAGTTCATGGCGAGAATGAACGCGCAGTAAGTCGTAAACAGCATCAGTGTGGCTATCATGGCGGCATCATCCCAACCAGGAGACTTCGTAACGCGATACCGGGCCCATATTCGTAGGCCGACACTGAGATAGGTGAGTATTAAAAGGCTGATTATGAGGTGAACAGTAATGGCGCCAAGGAGCGCCAGCTCCTCAACCTTTGCGCTGTCCATTATATGATACTAATAAACATTGAAATACAAAAAGAAATTATGTTAACTGATAAAAAATGACTCCCGGCCACAACCTGACAGAAGATTGGCCGAGAGAACAGGAAGCAGGTGGCAGGCCTCAAACTTTACGCAGCAGTCGTTCGGTTATGAATGTCATGTTGGAAATGTTTACCCCGGTATCATGCGACCCAGCCAAGATTCGCTTCATGTTTAGTACCGGGTTGTGAACTTTGTCATTGAGATCCCAGCCACCGATTGGCTATCACGAGTCTTGGTGACTCGTATGGTTTTGTGATACACCAAAATGTCATAGAGACACGGCTCAGACGTTTTGGGTCCAACTTCCTGGCACAAAGGTGGCCCGTTCTTCCACGTGGCTCTTGGAGAGCTTACCGGCACGATACTTGCGTGCTCTTGTAAGGATCTAGTGGATAGACATCTCAATGCATACGGCTTGATTTGATAGAGAGAAGGAGTACCCTTGTCCACATTTTCGACGCATATATGGTCGCCATCCCCATATGCTTTCAAGCTTCACTCTGTTTCGGCACCATTTCCATCGCAGGCTATAACATAACGGACCATTGACTAATTCCCGTGACGAAGTCCCTCCGAAAAGGCCATTTTGATACCCGTTTCGAAACCGCGGCACAGCCAAAGGACAGCTACATTAGCCTCTCTTAACGGATCAAACATCATTTTTTCGGATTTTTCCTTGGCAATAGCTTTATCACTCTCACTATATACGTGCCAGCATAATACTCACGAAGGCGCATACGTTTGACTAAACATGTCATGTTTGATCCTTGAACACAAGACGTGTTTCACCGTTGAAAACTGTAGCCGGAAACAGTGCGAGCCGAAGCGGATATGGACATGACTCCCCCGTTTGACAGTTCAGACAAGCGAAGATCATCGGAACCCCAGATTCCTTAGGCAAACATTGTTCTCGTGTCGAGGTCCGTGAGGATGAGGGTCAATGCGAGCGGTTCGCCGTAGTTCGGTCGCTCGGCAAAACAACTGTTCCGTCGTCACTAGTACTACTAGCGCCTCGGCATAAATTTTCTTTGTCCTCAAGCTTCGACTCCGACACTGGAACCTCTCCAACATCAAAGTAGCGACACCCATGAATACCGCCATTTAGTGGCCGGGTCTGCTACCGATGCCCAATCATATATCCGGGACTCTCGCGATAGTTTTCGCGATTTGAAACGCGCAAGCATGCGTTTTTCAGCCTCAATTCAGGCTTCGTAATGCTATCTGGCTACGCTAATGCTATGTGCTTACCTCTCATCTAGCCTCGGCATCTCATCTACTTCTCCTGGTACGTTACATCTCTGTCTCTCCTTTTCTTTCTCATATGATGAAAAAAAGACAAAAATTCACAGACCTGTTCGTAACAATAGTGTCGAAAAATTTGCTTAACATCTTCTGATTTGAATAATTCTTCATTGCTGCGCTGCTTCTATTATTGAGCTCAGTAACTAACAGTCAGCAGGTAAAGACCTTTCACTGAGTGTTTTGAAAATCCTCCGATGGTGCGATCTTAATGTCTCAAAAAGAAACGATTGTTAGCTTGTGGCCTTGTTGCATCTCCCAGGCATGGGAGATCCAGCAGCATCAAAAGGTTGTAGATAAGGCTGGGTTTCCATTAGCTCACCGTTCCTCAAGACGTGCTTTGTATGCTCAAGACAATGACAGATGCTTTTAGCACAATGGCCAGTACTCTCATATGCGCTTCCTTTGTCCAACTAAGATCTGTAACGAGACCATCAAAGAGCCCTGTGAGGTCACATATATGCCTGGGTGCCGGTTATCCTACGAGTACACCCTGTTTGCTTTGCACCTACCAAAAACACCCAATGTCTTCCATCTCTTCATTGCAAACATCTCCAAAGTCTTCGGGTGCACTTTTACACGATCAGACCTTATACCAATTTGGTGAACCAGACTGTAAATCAGCAAAGGCCTCTAGTCGTGTTCGCCGTATTTCGGCTGGTTCCGAAAAGATGGCCCAAATTACACAATCACAAGCTGATGTTGTTGCAACAACCCGACAGCCCGGTTTTGTGGGATCACAGCACACGAGAGGTTCTAGTGGTGTAATCGGTTTGCCTAGCGTAATCGACCCATCTCTTTTCGATGATTGCTTTGATCTAAATCAGTTCACTGCTAACGACTCTTTTACGAATGATATCCTTAACCTCGATAATCCTGACTGGTCTGCAACAAATGACCCTGACTTGACTGCCAATGGCTCCGATGCTAAGCAATCCCAATACACTGACCTCTTGCAGAATGTTCAATCTGAAATTGGCTTAGGGATATCGCATGCTCCACCTGAGGAGTCTAACAATATACAATATACGACCGAGCCCAAATATGATCTTGAGGATGTACTAAACTCGCTCGAACTAGTCTCTACGGAACCATACTGTAATGCACCTCTAGGGTCAAACGCCTGGGACCCAACTTCATGGACAGTACCAGCATATGATGGCGCCACCCCAGGGCTTTCAGCACTTCCTAGCGGCACTCAATTTATGCCGGATATGTCAAAATATCCAGTCATTAGCCAAACACAACAGATGTATCCTGATCCGTCTGCTGCACTATATCCGACTCAACCTTATCAGCAATTCTCACAGCAACAATATTCACGGCAATACCTTGAATACCCTCCAATCCCAATCGAGCACTATAAGGCAGCAAGGCAAATGGCAGCACAGCCAGTAAAAAAGCGGAAACGTTCGGCATATAGCACGGACTCTGAGGATGACGCACCCGCTAACAGACGGCCACGAGAGGATGAACTTGTAAAGATCATCGCGTCACCAGATGCCTCCCGCAAACAATCCATGGTTTCCGAGGACGGTTCTCTAAGCCAACCCGTCGGCAGGGGCGTCTTGAAAGCTGGCGAAAAGCCAAAGAAATGCGAGGATAAACCTTGGGTCCGCATTAATCACACCACCAAGGGTGAAACGACTCGCACAGCTCGAATCAATCAGCACGCAGAGGATGGTCATAAATACAAGACCAAAAAACTTCCTTATGGTGACTGGGACTCGACACACTACACGTTTGAGTACAGCAAGAACAACGGTATGCACGAATTTAAGAAGCGCACCATGTCTGCACGTCAGATCCACGAGTACATTACACAGTATCCCGGCGATAATCTCCGTATCTGGATCCAACCAGTAGCTTCTGATTCAGCTCGTCGATATGCATCTGCGTCCCATAGCCATTGTCGATTCGAGAAGTGCCCAATGCGCAAGTACACTGGCAAGGGAACAGCAGAAGTAGGCAACTATCGAGTTGCCTTTGACGAGAAGCACAAGACATATGGACCGGGTGTAGTTGATCCATATGATTGCGTTGGCTACGTCCATCTGTACTGCATGGAGCGCTTCCTAGACTTTGCCTACATTTGCCAGATTGCAGATGTCAGAGTGGACCAGCGTGTGAGCATGGAGAAGGAACCAAAAGGGCATTTTGCGTCTGCATTTGGCCCCAAGCACCATCATGAAGCAGCTGTAGCGAAGAAGTTTATCAACGCTGCCAGGAGAGGCCGGCTTGCCGAGACACCTGAGTTTGCAAACTACCCTGTTCATGAAGAATATGCTCGGGGTGCGCCTAAGCCACATGAACGCACGCTCGTTCACGCTCTATACGACATGAACATTAAACACCGTGCAAAGTCACAGATGAAGCAATTTATTCTCCAACGCACGATTCGACCGGGATCCTTTACTGTGCACCGCGGTGACATGGAGGTAAAACTTGTGGATAAGAAGATCGAGCGGCTTCCTGCTTTCAAGGAGTTCCTCAAAGACGGATCGAAAAAGGACTTTGACTACTCAGCTTACTATGACAAGTTTCATCCAGAGATTAAGGAACGAATCAAGGAATGCATGATCCTCCGGGAGCAATTAATCTCTGAAGGCGGAGACGAGAGTACCAGCAAGCGCTCTCGACGACCCCGACGCAACTCACTCGAAGATTCAGAAGACGAAATCGTCGTCCCTTCCAAAAAGCCAAAGAAGCGTAGTAGAGTCGATGATTCAGATTCCTCCGACTCCTCCCCTCCAACCCGCAAGTCTCGCTCCAAAAAGCCTTCAATCAACTTCAACGTCTCCTCCCCCCTCCAGCCCCAAGAACCTCCCCCATGCCGCCCCAGCTCTCTCCGCCAAAAACCTCGCCTCAACTACTCAGAACCCCACGACACCATGCCCTCCCCTCGCACTACCACTAACAGCGCCTCAGCATCTACTTTCTCCCCCTCATCTACCGTTCCCCAACCCGCTCTCTCATCCCACGCCCCATCCGTCTCCACCACCACCCCACCCCCCGCCTTCTTCCCAACCAACGAAGCCCGCAAAGAAAGCTGCACCGCTCTCTTCCCCGTCACCGACGCCGACTGGGCGAACTTCGATCTCGCCCCGCTCGACGGCACCGAATCGTTCCTCACACAAGCTCAGATTGATGCTCTGCTTAATGCCGCGTATAGGCGTAAGTCGAGTACGTTGAGTGTGGGGCCGATGGGCCTGCCGACGCCGGTTACATCGCCGCAGATTAAAAAGTTGCTGGGAGCGCCGTCATCGCCGCTGGGAGCTCAGACTGATGCAGCGAAGCTGCGCAGGGCGAGTTTTAATGCGAAGCCCGTGTCGGGGTGTAGGGAGTTTAGGGTTGAGGATCCGCCGGTTTGTGTGGCGGAGGGGAGGGAGTTGAGGAGGAGTAGTAGGAGGGGGAAGGGGGAGAAGAGTTGATGTGAGGGATGCCTGGAGGGTGTGAAGATGGTCGAGTCGAGTTGTTAGCTGGCGAAGGGTAGGTATCAATCTGTGATTCTTGGATTATGTAGAAAAAAAAACTGTTTATGTTTACTATATCTCTGTTATCGTTATGTAACCAATCAAATATCCTTTCGCAAGATTGAGTTTCTGTATTCTGAATACGCTTGTGATTTTTCAAATGTCTCTGTTCCAGGTCCCGTGACTAGCTTCCCATCACACAATATTCAGTTAAAGCATTTGATTGGCTAGCTTACAGGAACGGCAGCGCCACGGGTCGGAGTTTTTGAGTACTCTATGAACCTTGGTATCTTATCTACTAGCAGTTCGGAGGCTAGCCTCCCGCGAATGACGCCGTTGACAGATGAAGCATGCGGCCGTAAAGCAACGAGCCAGCGCTTCAGCCCTGCCAAGGCAACGAGCAGAGATGTCACGAGGAAGGCGGGCGGCCCGTCTACGGAGCCCGAAAGAACAAAGTCAAAGAGGGCACAAGTGATTGGACAGCTGGTGGGACAGATGGAGTCGTGTGTAGCCGCGCGGATGATGATGAAATCCCAACCACTCAGCATGCAAAGGCACCGCCATGGCTACCCAACAATCCACCTCAACATGTTCCTTATTCCTGCCCGGGTGACCAGTAAGCCCTTGATGATTCTTCTCCGCTCGCAATTGCTGAGCAATCTTCTTGTCCCGGCGGTTTCATCAGCAAACTCTCCACCCAGAGATCCTTCGCTTATACCACACATGCGTACTAATACCCAGGCACGGCACGCCCTTGTCGACTAATAATACCCCGTCGCACTATCGTATTGCATCACCGCCCCACCAGGCTGGCTACATAGCAGCCCTCACCTCCTACCTCTGCGTACGAACATTGTTCGTAGTAAGACGACATGGCTTCGCGTAATTCGACGCCATTGCGCTCGCGCTCCTCTTCCAACAGCACCTCGTCTTCCGACGCCACCATGATGGACGCAGCGCCGCAATCTCCAAGCGGCCCAGCCCGTCTCCGCAACCCTTCGTACGGTCATCTCCCCACACCTACGACAACGCATATGCAGTCGCTCAACACCCGGCCCGATCCGTCCTTTTCGCTTCTCTTGTCGCTCCCTAGAGAGCTACGGGACCGCGTCTATGCGTTTGCTCTTGTCTCAGACTCGCCCTTTTGGTGGCCCTCCAAATCTCCAGACGCCGACCACCACAATGTCAGCGCCAGCCTTCTTCGCACCAACAAGCAGGTGTATAGCGAGTCAATCGACATTCTGTACTCGCAGAACAGGTTCCTGTTCACCCACCCAAGCGACTGCAATATGTTCCGCGTGGTCGCATCTTCCGCTTCCGTCAACATAACGAGTGTCTATTTCCGCATTAGACAGAAAGACTTGAAGCTGTGGACCGCGTATCTGGGAAGCAAACAAGCAGAGAGGAGTTTGAAGAGCGACCTCCCCAAGCTGAAGAGTCTGTGGGTGTTTCTGAGGTGTGGCGCGATGGGGCTGCCTGCCGCATTTGGGAGTCTGCAAGCCGCACCTGTGGGCGCCTTGGGAGGACCGGTAGGACACGCTCAAGCTTTACCGATCGCCTTGGGACAACAGATGCATGCCCTCCAGCAACAAGTACAGAGCCTCACGCAGGTCATGGCCAATGCGAATGCACAAGCTGCTGCCGGAGGCAATCAAGCCCACACAGGAGGCAACCAGCTTCCACCTCCCCCACCCCCAGCACCGGCAATGCCCTTTTTGCAGTTTGCACAAGGCCCCTTGGGACTAGGCGGTCCTCATCATGGCCACCACCATCACCAGAACCACCCTCCGCATGTCAACTTGCTGGCGCAACAACAGCTGCAAATGCACCAGCAGGCCAACATCCATCCACCACCACTGTTCCATGCGCCACATCATATCGGGTCCATGGTAAATCCACAAGCGAACAGAACAGACCCACGTGATCCGCACACTCTGTTCTCAACGTTTCTCCGCTTCGAGCGAGAGCTGGGCATTGAATCGCTCTGCCTGAATCTTCGTGATGCTTTGTATTCTGGGCCGTCTGCATTGATGAATTTTGATTCGTCCTCCAGCAGTGATGCTTCATCAGTAGCTGGGAGCCCCCCCGTAGCATCCAGCAACGAGCCCCGACCGGAAGTCAAGATAGTGTGCATTGTCCATATTCCGCGTAGGATAATGGAGCGAGTGGTCGCACTTCACCCAGATGAGTTGGTTGTAGACGCCAAAACTCAGGATGCGAGGACGCGGTTCAGGAAACTGCATGGCATCGAAGTTAGTTTGGAGTTGAATGGATGCCCTCCGCTACGTCCGGGGCAAGATGGCGCAGATCACGGTGACATGCATGCGCATGAGCACTGAGTGCTCGCAGTGTCGCATTTTTCGTATGTCGTCGGTGGACTTTTTTCAGGTTGTAGTACAAGATACCCGCATGAGGACATGGATGCTCCTCGAGACAAAAATTGGTTTCAGTTTGGCTTTCACATTAGGATATGAATCTCTCACTCACCGTCACATTCGTTTCTCATCGCCTGTCGTTTGTAGCGCTGTAAAATACAACGGTTTGCGCTTTCTACGCACCTGAAATCTCACTTCAAACCGATTTTCTATAACTGCACCATCTACTCAACTAGGAATTGCAAGTATGAACTGCACCAACATGCCTCCAATCCTCACTCAATCCTCACCCGAACCCCATGAATCAATCGACGCCATCTTGATGCTCAATACCTGCAACCTACCCATCATCACCCCCTGCTCCGCCACCCTCAACCCCCACAGCTTCGCGCTCCCAAACCTCTTCCACCTCCTCACCTGTGGCCACATCGTCACAATCGACGACACCGACCGGCGCTGTGCCCATAACTGCCACCGCACCACCGCCACTACCTCGCGCCCCAGCGAATTCCCAGAGCCACAATACACGTACGTTCTCCCCCCCCCCCCAAACACGCCCTTCTACTCACTCACTACCTCTATTCCAACAGAAACAGCGCCGATGAAATCACCTTCACCGATACAGCTACCAACATCTACCCTGACACCCTCTACTGCGAAGTCTGCACCGGAATCCCATTCGATAGGTACTACATCATGTTTCCTCCCCCCGGCCCTTCTCTTCTGCGCCGTTGTCTAGCGCTCTCCCGGGCTATCATTGCGGCTACGATGATCCTTCCCGCGCTGGCGGTAGACGAGATTTTGTGTCCTGTGTTGTACGTGCCGGGACACGTGCCGCATGAGTTGAGGTGTGGGCATAGGGTTTGGTGCATGCTGGAGAGGTGGTGCGGGGTTAATTGTAGTGATTGTAGGGAGGGGAGATGGAAGGGGTTGGATGCGGTGGTTTGTGAGGAGTGCGTGGGGAGGGGGGAAAGGGTGTATGAGCGGTATTGGTAGCTTGAGTGAAGTGAAGGTGAGGTGAGAGGGGGGAGGGAGGGTTCACTTTCACTTTCGACGGTTTGGGCGTTGGGTTTGCTCTGGTGAGTGGGCGAAGATTCACTAGCTGTTCACAATGTTTTGGGTCCTTCGAGCTTATAAGCTGGAGTGTTTGATCTGAACTGTGGATTTGTTCTATCCAGAAGTATAACCCACCCCAGATCAATCACAACTGAGAGAAACTATCGATCGAGATAAACAACGACGCTACAATGGTGAGGCAGCGATCCACCGCTTCTAGGCGCTCGTCCCAAAGCCGGGGTGCTTCCGAAATTAGGTCATTGCGAGCAGAGTCACTAGGTTCAAAGGCTGCGGAAACGGGAGCGTTGCAGAAGTTGACGATAAAAATCAAGCTCAATCGCAATTTCGACGATACATGCGAAAAGACTGATCCGTTTGCTCCTACGGTGAACGAAGACAATACAGACTACAACAATGACCTTCCATACTACTCGGTTTCGCAACCGTCAGTGACGACGCGGACTGGACGGACAATACATAAGCCACAGCATGAGGATGTCATACAGGGCGGTGACTATGAACAGATCATGGGTCTTAGCTCTGAGGGCTTTGGAGAGGACGACTTCAAGTTTCAACCAGACTTCTCGCGCGATCTGCGTAAGTGTATCTCCTCGGGAAACTTATACAAAGCAGCATTGCTAAACAGCACAGCGAATGCTTTGGGTGACATTCAATATTCGGAAGGCTCATCGTCACAAAAACATCAGAAAAAGCGAGGCGTGGGTCGTCCACGCGGCAAACAACCATGCTTCACGTCCCACTTGGATAGGGTTAGTGAGGAAGAAGACTGGCCATCATCATCTACACTCCCAGCCCAGTCTTCTTTCGAGTACAACAGCTTCCAGCCAAGTCAGGACGTCTACGACATCCTGAATAGCCTCAAAGCTAGCACCAAAACTCACATCGACCTGCCTAGTCTCAGCAACGCCGCCGACCCCGACGCCATCCAACCCTACAGCGCCGAGCTCCTCACCAACCTCTACATAATCTGCTACCACGGAAGCCTCTGGAATCTCTGCGACCTAATCACCGACACCTGGATCCGCGCCTTCCACGAGCGCCGCAAGAAATCCCAAAACGACCCCGCCTACACCCTGTGGCGCCCCAACAAAGCTCTCGAAGCCCGCAAACATGCAGCCCACCAAGCTCGCCTCAACGGCGTCCACATCCCCTCAGAATTCGATCCCAACCCTGTAAACCTGCACCTCGACCCCACAGACCCTGATCTCGAACCCAACGTAACAGACCCGCCCCTCCACCTCCTCACATACCTCTACCACCACACCCCGCCCACCTGCGGCGCACGCATACTATGGGCCGACGCGCTGGCGCTGGCGGGTGATCAGACAGAGAAGGGGATGGAAGCGGCGCAGAGGAGGGGAGAAGAGGTGCATCCGGAGTTGGTGTGGAATGTTATGCAGAGTGGGTTGAGGATGGTGAGGAGGCGGTTGACGATGAAGTGTGAGGAGAGTACTGAGGGAGCGTGGTGTAGGCGGTATCATGAGCATGGGAGGAATGGAGGGAGGTGTTATAGGGAGGTTGCTGCGGAGGAAGACGAGGAAGAGGAAGAGGGGGAGTGGGAAGAGTAGGGGGTTCTGGGGGTGGAAGCGTGTCACTTTGGAACTTTGGAAGATGGTACACATGGATGTAGGTCCCATATTTTGGGGGTATAGGAATTTAGGAGAGTTTGTGGAGGAGTATGCAGGTAGCAGAACCTGTTGAGGAGTAGGCAAGTAGTAAGTGACGGAGTTTGGATGGGATTGTTTAGCACCAGACTAGTCAACGGCGGGTCGGAAAAGTAGGTATCAGACTCACATTCTGGAGAGATAGCATAATTTTCAGCGCCAGCCTGTTTGCGAGCACAAACAAGCATGTTTTGTGCAAGTGGGTTCTTTATCCATTGCCGCAGTGTGGAGTTGTTGTGGGTGAGTGGGAATCAGTGCGCACGGAAAAGTATCCGAGCGATAATTTTTGTTTGACTCTAACGAGTATATAGTCATAGGCGATGATGACTGCTTATGAAGCCTGTGATGCTCTAATACTTATAGTACGTGAAAGACGGGGTTGTACTTTGGTGTCTTGTTTGCTCCTCCAGTATGCCCTCGCACCTTCCACTTCCACTTCCTCACAATCCTCACCACTAACCTGAAAGCAGTGAAGCGCCATGCACACAACCTCTGCTTCCAAGCACTCTGATAACAACTACACTGATAACAACTACATCGAGCTCGCATAGCCAAGGAGACAGGTCGACACGAATTTCTCCGTCCTCGGCGGTTTTGCTGTCCCACTGACATGCCTCCAGTCGAGCTTGATGCTATTTCGCTCACAGAACCCCTCGGACACTGACCGCAACAACCATCCTTTGCGTACAACGGAAGAATTCTTTGACTCACGCGGCCATGAATTAAGCCGTATCAATGAAGTATAAATGGGGCATCCCCAACATTGGCGCCTTGGAAGATACCCACCTTGTCATGGAAGATGCCAACCACTGCCCCCAACTCTGATAGCAAACTTAGTCAGCAACACGACCCCCAGTTCCAGACATCTCAACAAGAAGCATATCCGGCAGCCAGGTTCCACCATGTGGCGTGATAATCATAGTTGGGCATCTCGCTACGGCCGATGTTACCTGCACGATGCTGCCGGAGCCGCATAGCGAGCCGCGGCCGCAAAAATCGGACTCCCGTCATACACCGAGTGCGAGCGCTCATGGACATCACCCATACGAACACGAAAAGATGATACTACACATTGACGTAAAGATTAGCGCAGACAAGCAATTGATAGTACGGCGTCGGTTTTGCTTGGGACGAAGCTTCAAAGTTTTGGCGGACACATGATGAGCTTGGTTTTGCACCAAGCTTTGGATCGCAGCTTTTCCCTTCCATTGTAGGAAGCCCGGAGGAGACGCCATACGTAAATAGAGAAGAACTTGGGGACATCGGAACGAGCAAGGAAAACTGTATAGGTAGTGAATCGACGCTACTGTATATGCCCAGGAGTTTGCGATCTGGACGCGTGGGAGAGATGGCAATCTCGACCCCGGAACGCGACCGCGAC